AACGAAGTCTGCTGGTGTACAAAAGAAAGGGACTCTCCCTCCCCCCCCCCCCCCTCCCCTCTCTCTCCACCTCACTGTGCAGAAGAACAGCCTGAACTGAATTTCCCATCTGGCTTGGATTATACTCTGGCTCCCCTCTGCCAGAATCTTTTCTAGACTAATGCAGAAATACTTGACTTACAGCCAGAACATCCCCTTGTAGGTGTTATCCCCGTAAGCAACAGGAGACTCTGGGACCGATGCAAAATGAATCGGTCAATGGGCAGACTCGCACTGAGTTCAGATGATGCCATTAGTGAGTTTCGTCTTGCTAAGATTGACTGTCAGTATTCCCTGGACGGGTGAGAGGATTTGCCACCCCACAATGAGCAAGGATTGACCTCCAAAACCAGTAGATCTTTCCTCCCACCCCCAAGTACTGCACTGGTCTTGGAGGATCTGCAGAGCCCAATGCTATCCATGTACCTCCATTCTAGCTCTCTGTCCCTGCCTCCCATGCCTAGTTCCCTGGCATCAAAACATTCAGCTCTAGATGTTCTAGACTGGGGTGGCCAGCCTATGGCTCCGGAGCCGCGTGCAGCTCTTCAGAGGTTAATATGTGACTCCTTGCATCGGAGCTGGAGCTACAGACACTAACTTTCCAATGCACCAGGGAATGCTCACTGCTCAACCCCCCTGCTCGGCCCCCACTCCACCCCTTCCCCCGAGCCTGCTTGTGGTGGGCGCGGGGAGTGAGGGGGAGGCACTGATTGGTGGGGTTGCTGGTGGGCAGGAGGCACTGGGGGCTGGAGGGGGAGGGAGCTTATGGGGGGCTGCTGACATATTACTGTGTCTCTTTGGCAATGTACATTGGTAAATTCTGGCTTCGGCTCAGGTTGGCCACCCCCAATCTAGACCCTAGTCATTTCCATTCAGGAAGCTTCTAGGATTCACTAAAACCCCTTCCAAGGATTTTATTGCTGTTGCTGAATGAAGTCATGTTGCATTTAGCAATAAATGTTCCACTTCTGTTAGGTTTAAAAAAAAAAAAGTCTAGCACCAATAGAGCTGTCTGCTTTTGCCCTGTGCTGTCAGTTGCTGCTAGTGGGATTGGAGGATTGCAGGGAGAGAGCAGCGGGGGGGAGCTTGGGCGCAGGTGACTGGAGAGATGAAGAGGCCGTTTGAAAGGAGCTGCTCCAATGATGGAGTGGGGCGGCGATCTAAAGCAGCTGGCTTTATGGGATTGTGTTAGTAGGTTTCAGTGCTCTCCAGTTTAATGGAGGGAGCGAAATGAGTCGGAAGGAAAATTGCAGCTTTTTTTAATTATCACTGTAATGCCTTCTTTTTAATTAGTTTGTTCCTGAGCCTGCCTGTGTGGGGGGGATAAGGGCTCTCTGCAGCCACTGCAACTGGCAATGTTCAGCTTCCCTGTGTGCGGAAGTGATTGAAGTCTATCCCATGATGAGCCGAGTTTACAATCCAAGGGAGCACTGAGTGGGTTCTTGGCACTCGCAAAAGTGGGGTGCTAAATGCTGGGAACCCAAGTGGCTTCCCGTACTGGGCCGGATCCTGCATTCATTGCACACCCCAAATTCCCACTGCCGTCAGAGAGAGGCTTGGGGTGCACGAGAGATGTCAAATGGGAGCCATTGTCAATGTCTGAGCCCAGACCTAAAATGCAACCATCGGCTTGGGCCAGATGCTCAGCAGGTTGATATCAGCAAAGCTCCATCAAAATCACAATTTGCCAGCTGTGGGTCTGGCTTGGCGGGTGTTTGGCAAGGACAGCTGACTAGCTGAGAGGGAATGAAGGACTGTGTCTTTCCCTTCTCTGCCTTCCCCCTAAACCCCAGCCCCTAAACAGTCATTCTGGGCATCCTGAACCTTTATTGAACATCCCAGGGAAAAACACCCCATGAGAGGTAATAGAAACACAGAAATGTAGGGCTGGAGGGGACTTCAAGAGGTCCTCTAGTCCATCCCCACACACTGAGGCGGGACCTACCAAGATCATCCTTGACAGGTGTTTGGCCAATCTGGTCTTAAAAACCTCCAGTGAGCAGGATTCCACAACCTTCCTTGGAAGCCTATTCCCATGCTTCACTAGCCTTGTAGAAAACTTCCTGATGGAGGTGGGTATCGCACTCCAAGTAACAAACAATGAATGCAGCTGTAGCAGGGGAACCTCTGCCTCCCAGAGTGCTAGTGATCCCGAGTTCTGCCAAGGGGTTCTAGCTTCAGTGAGCTTAGGGGGTGCGTTACAAGTACAGGACAGAAAGCACAGACAGGTGAGTGCTGGGCTGATGGCGCTGCACAGTGAAGTCCTCATTTAGCCACAGAGCGGGAAGGGAGAGTTCAAGGCCAGATTCCTGGCTGGGGTAAATTGCCCCCACTCCACTGAAGTCATTGGAGCCAACCCTGCTCTACACCAGCTGAGGATTTGGCCTTCAGCCTTTATGCCCTTCTCCGTTTTTGGTCTTTCTGCTGAGGCTGCTAACTAGGGTGCCAATTGCAGGATGTGATGCGTGACACCTCTCTGCAAGGAACTGGAGTGAGGCCACCAAACAGCCATCAGCTAGTAATGATTTTTGATCATTATGTACCTGGATGGGAGCCAAACCAGTGACTTAGAGAGGGAAAGTTCTGTAACCCAACGCCTTTGCTCTGTTAAAGACCCTCTCAAGCTTCAAGCCTGAAAAAGCTTGCACGCCTGGCTATCTTTGTGCATGTAAAAATGTTAGCGATTTTTGGTCAGCTCCCTGGTTGGCGCAAATCAGCGTTGCTCCAGCTAGGGATCGGGCCCGTCAAATATTTTATTGCTATTGTTTAAAAACTGAAGTTGTGCTGCGGTGGTGCCTTTATCACTTCTGAAAATGCCTCCCTCTTCTCAGTGCGTTACCGGACGTGTCGCTCAGATCCTTTCTGCCCCACATCCTGCTTCTGTGGCTTTTGTCTCTTGTGAAGCAAATTACACTTTGAAACAAAAAGTGTTCTTAGTCCAGTTAAAATAAGAACTCTCTGTACACATACTAGGCCTGCACACACCCCTTTACACACTGACACAGAGCGAGGCACTATTTAACCCTGGGGGGATTTTAGTCATTTACAAGGGATCGTTTTCTGATGTCAGGTCAGAGAGGCTGAGCTTTTCATTTCAGTACAGTACATCTCACTGTAATGCTGCCAATGGGAGTTTCAGACCCAACCAGGGTGGACTGAGGAAAGATGGTTAGGACTCTGAAAGCAACCTGGTCCAATTGGTAAAATTGCCTGTGATCATTTTAAGCTATGAGATCTTGCGAACTGCTAGAGATAGAAACCAAAGGCCAGATCCCCATCTGGTGTAAATCATCATAGCTCCATTGACTTCTGTGGGGCCACACTGATCTCCTAGTGCTTTACACCATGTCAGTCCTTCTAGCCATGAGTCTGGCAAGAGAGCTGACCTTAAATTCATATCAGTCAGATTACCACTTTGCCCCTCCCACTACCCCAACACAACCCTTCAGTGCTCACCTCAATTTCATGACCTGCTTTCCTGAGAACTGTGGGAGCCAGCATCTATGGTGTCTGCTTTCTGAATGTTTGGGGTCTCCTGATTCAAAGGGCATAAGTAGGGCCATAAATGTAGATGGGGAAACTTCCCCTACACTGAGGGACGTGCAGTCCAAATCCCACTAGACAGACAAACATGTGGCACAGACCAACAGTTCATGAGGGGAGGCTGCAGATTCTAGCTAGGAAAATAAGCTAGATGGGGGTGGGGTTTGAAGGAGGAAAGAGAGCGGTGCAGGAAGGGAGGTTGTTTCGGGAGTAGGGGGGAGCCTGATGGTCGCTGAGAGCGGAAGGAAGGGAAAGGTGAGTAGGCGCGTTGGGAATGAAAGGGGGAGTTGTAGGTGGGGACAGGACTCTGTAGGGCCTTGAGGGTAAGGAACAGGAACTTGAATACAATGCAGTAAGTGACCAGAAACCAGTGGAGGGACTGAGAGAGCAGAAGTGATGTGGTCATAATGGGAGCTCCCATTAGCAGAGGTTGCTTCAGGCATGCCTTTGATGGGGGAGAGCAGTGAGGCAGTCAAGCCAGACAGGAGATGATTGTTGGTGGGGGGTGGGGGGGTTGCAGGGGATGACCTCAATAAGGGGATAGCAGGGAAAGGGCAGGTAGAAGCAACAGGACTCAGCAACTGGCCAGATGTGTGTGGGGACAGAGCGCGGAGGTGGGAAGGATAACTGCGCTGCCGGTGGTGATGGGGGATCTGAGAGACATTTTGAACTGGAGTTGGACACACAACTGCAGAGGTTAGGGAGGAGGGCAGTAGGGGTGGTGGTCGCTGTGGTAGGTGAGGGAATGGGTGGGAGATGGCGTCCCCTAAAGAGAGGGAGTACAAAGTGGGGACAGAATACAGAATCGTGTGGGGCAGAGAGGAGGCCAAGAAGTCACTGAAAAACATGCTGAGGGCATGAGGAGAAATCAGGAAAGCGCAGGGCCAGGAAAGCCATGAGGTGAAAGCCAAGGAACGAATGGGATTTATTACTGTTACGTGTCTTAGCACTAGCAGCCCCAGTTATGGACCAGAACCCCATTGTGCTGGGCACTGTACAAGCACTGAACAAAGACACTCCCTGCCCCAAGGAGCTAAGCTATCGGTGACCTGTAGGAGGGCTGTTTCAGTTCAGTGGAGGGGGCACAGATCGAGCCGAGGGGCTCAAAGAGAGGGAGCCAAGAGAAATAAGAGAGCAGATAGAGGAGTAAGTCTGATCCAAGGAAGGGCGCATAAGCATTTCCTGTCATGCCATTCACAAGGAGCTATGAGGGCCCAATGTCGTCTGCCTGCACTAGGTGGAAGCTGTATCTCCAATGGCCTGTATTTGTAGCAAAGCGTTCTGACCTGAGACCCATCTGTGGTTTCTCTGTGAGGCATGCATTGAGGGGCAGGATCTCTCTAGCCAATGCTAGACCAGAGCACAGCTCTCGCGTGTTGACTCCATCCTGTTTCCAGGAAAGTGCTTTCTCCCACCCCGGTACTCTGAGACTGTCTCTTTTTAACCATCTTGGATTTTTTTTCCCCCCCCTCCCTGCAGATTGGTGACTTAGTTGTCAAGGACCAGATCTTTGGTGAAGCAACCAAGCAACCTGGCATAACCTTCATCGCTGCCAAGTTCGACGGCATTATGGGCATGGCCTTCCCGAAGATCTCTGTGGATAAAGTCACACCCTTCTTCGATAACGTCATTCAGCAGAAGCTGGTGGACAAGAACATCTTTTCCTTCTACCTCAACAGGTGATGTTGCGGGGGCACGGAGCTCATTCTTGAGACATCGCGTCCGGCTGTCTCCAACCTGTGGGCTACCTCCTGTCCTCCCAGCTCATTCTAAGGGCCAGATCCTCAGTTGGTGTAAAGGGGCACAGCTGTATTGAAATCAGTGGAGCTGCATCCCTTTACACCAGAGGAGGGCCTGGCCATCCCATTCCTGCAATAGGGTGTGTTTTCTGACACCCTTACTCCTGCAGGGAGAGTGGGCATTCATCTCTCACTGTAGCTACTTCCCACGGGTTGCTTGGCATCAGGCAACTGACTGAAGAGCTCCGGACAAAGCTGCCTTTTTTTTACAACGAACTGATTATTTCAGTTCTCTGGAGCTCTGCGGATTTAAATCAGCTGCAGAACATTCTCTTTCCTGAATGCCTACAGCGTGTTTGTCACTGGGCAAGTCCGTGCACGTCCTGCCCCGAGGAGCTTACAATCGAATGGCCCGAACCTTTGAGGAGATGGAGCGTCTCCAAAAAGACTTGAGGATGCTCAGCTGCTCCCTCTGTCCAACCCTAAGTTTCTTCTCTGTCTGGCCCCTTAGACAGTCACTTCCACCTGCGCAAAGCGGGTGTGTTCATGCCACCTGATCAAAATGGTAGCCTTTCACATCCCCTCTGCACAGGTGGCATTAATAGTGTCATAGCAAAGTAGGGCTGGAAGGGACCTCCAGAGGTCATCTAGTCCACACCCCTGCACTGAGGCAGGATCAAGTATACCCGGATGCCTGCCCAAGGGGTAGAGCAATGGGGAATGGGGTCTCAGTGCAGAACTCTACCCTCTGCGTATATGTCGTCTGAAAGTCAAACTCTGGACTGGGAAGGAGTCATGAATTCCTTCTGGGTTGGTTCACATCAGGCCTGTGCACATAGCACGTAGTGATGGGAATCACTGGTGGGACTTGCTGAAGGAGTTCAGGCCTGATTCCTCCTCCCCCTTGCACCAGTGACAGTTGGGAGTACCACCACAGAGCTACATTGGTATGAAACCGGTGTGAGGGAGGGGAGATTCAGGGGCTTTGTTTCTAAGAGGAGGGGTTGAATGTGGTGCTGTGGTGGGCCAGGAGAGGCTGTGCGTTCCAAGGGGAGCAGGAGATGAGTGGGAAAAGACAATACGGAGGGAGGACTGGGATCATGGCAGCAGGAGGCCTGTCATACCCTCGCTGGCTCTGTCATACCCATCACCACCCCTACAGACCTGAGCATGGTTTTCCATTTTCCCGGGAGAGACGAGACTCCTTGGGCTGAAAAATGTCTTCGGGGGGGGGGGGGTTCTGGTTCAGTTACGGCTAAAAATCCCCCATAGCGATGCTTCCTCACACCTAGTCAGCTGCAATCTATGGGTTGAAATAACCTGGAGAATTCAGTTCTCTGGGCCGTGAGTCAGGCAATAACAATGTATCATTTGATCAGCTGCATCCCTCCCCACATAAACGCATGTTGTTGGCTGGATGAAGGGTATTGTACTAGTGCTCGGGGTGACAGAGCTTATTCTGCCCCTGCCCTACCCCAAATGCAAGGGAGATAAAGAAATAGGCTATGGCGGTCTCTCTAGTCGTGGAGCTAGTGGTAAAAGAATTTGGCCAGTCTTGGGCTGTCAGTGAGCAATGATCTTTCTTCCATTGCTCTTTCCTTGCGTGCAGTGAGTTTCTCCAGGTCTCAACACAACGTGCGTGGCTGTTACAGGATGGCTCAGCCCTCAGCTAGCCTAAGACCTGCTGGAGTTCCCTTATATCCCCTCACAACCTAAGCCACAATGTTGGTGGTTTAATATTTTTATATCTTTCATATGTGGGTGCCCTGCTTGCTCTCTCCCCTGGCATGAGTGCATGGGGATCCATTGTGGATGAGCATGCTTGGAGAAGCAGTGTCTGTCTGCCTCCCTCCCACTTCAGCTGAATTGATGTTCTGTGTCTTTTCTTTCAGGGACCCATCAGCTCAGCCTGGAGGGGAGCTGCTGCTGGGAGGGACTGACCCCAAGTATTATACCGGAGACTTCAACTGGGTGAATGTCACACGCAAGGCATACTGGCAGGTCAAAATGGATGAGTGAGTTCCACCTTCCTTTCCGTGTGCCCTCCTCTCTCTCTCTCTCTCACGCACCCATGTATTCGAGGGCAGAATTCATCCCATTGTCTTCCGCCTCTCCCCACTTCCCAGGGACTAACTGGCTAGGTGTGAAGGGTCCTGTCCAGACGTGTGTATGTCCCATTGTTTTCATTCAGGCCTGCTCTGTGCTGGGCACAAGCCACCAGTGCAAACGCTTATAAGCTGCAGCTTATGCCAGCTTCAAGCAGGAGTAAACCCACCAAATCATGGCTTCTGGCAGCTTTGCCTATCTCCCCTCAGGGCCTCGCTACACCAATTGCTATCGTTCCCAGTAGGGATGAAACCCCAGAGTTGCTTGTACGTAAGGGCTGAATGGGGCTCAGAGAATTCAGCCCTTGATGGAAGGGGCCCTCTTCTTATAGGCACACAGTAGTAAGCACTCTGCATTGCTCGGGGAAGTGAGGGGGAGGGACTGAGCCTGGTTGCGTGGTCCGAGCAGAGGGCTGTTAGCCAGGAAGCCTGGACCTCTATTCCAAGCTCTAGACTAGGTCTACACTACACAGGTTTGTTGGTGGAGTTTTGTCAGTCAGGGGTGTGGAAAGAACCACAGCTGACATAGCCGTGCCTCCAACCCCCCCCCCCCCGCCATTTCCTCCCCCCCAGCGTAGATGCAGTGATAGTGACAGAAGAGGGCATCTCTCAGCATAGCTAATGTCATATGGGGAAGTGCTGTTACTATGCCAACAGAAAAACTCATGTTGGCATATGCTGTGTCTACACGAAGGGCCTCTGCTGGTATAGCTACATAGGCAAAGCTTCTGTAGTAAAGGCACTCTACATGGTCCTGTCTACATCTAAGGATCTCCAAGTGCCTCCCACCCTTCCCTGGCACATGGGCCAAGTATCATTATCCCCAAGTTATTTAATGTTTGCAAAGTGCATTGAGACCCTTGACTGGAAGGTTTTATAACAGTGCAGAGTATTGTGATACTTTATCAGCAAAGGCCAAACCAGACCCTAATAGATTTCCTTTGAAGTGGGAAATGTTACACAACCCTTTTAACCCTTTGCCATCCATGGTGGTACATACTGCTGCATAAACCACTGTGGAAACAGATTCAGATATCTGCAGGGGAAGTGCCAAAGTACATACAGGTTTGTGTGTCATCATCCTGGGTAACGCATCATAACCGGTTTAGCATGTCAGCTAGCTGTGGGATACCAGGCAGAAATGAAAGAAATTTGCTGGCCCTGCTGCAGCAAAGTATGTATAACCTCAATCACATGAGTGCTCTCATTGAAGTTGATGGGACTATTCACTTAAAGTGAGGTATTTGCTCAAGTGCTTTGCTGGATCAAGACCTAGGTATTTCCATACTTCAGCATATTCTGGGAGTTTTAACTATTAATTCCCTACTCCAGTTTGCCAGTATTTTTATACTGTTCTGTTAAGGTTTTTTTCCCCCCTGTTTAAGTAACTGATTCATATTTGCAACCTGAACTGCAACTCACAAAGGGCTTTTATTATCTCGGAATCTTCTTTTTCACATAGACTGGATGTTGCCAATGGCCTGACCCTGTGCAAAGGGGGCTGTGAAGCTATTGTGGACACAGGAACCTCGCTCATTACAGGGCCAACGAAGGAGGTGAAGGCGCTGCAGGCTGCCATCGGGGCTAAGCCGCTCATCAAAGGACAGGTAAACCCCGGCAGAGAAACTGGGTGGTGAACTGGAAACTTGGGGGGGAGGGGGGATTCCAAAAGACTGGTACCCCCACCCCTTGGAATCTCTACACTGGCTTCCCCTCTTCAGACAGCTTAACATCAAGCTTCTCCTTACTTTGCAGATTTCTTATTCTGTCCCTCCTTGCATCTCTGCCCGTCTTTCCTCCTACAGCCCCTTCCCACTCTGAGCTCTGCCCAAGCCTCTCTTGGGGGGGGGGGGGGGGAATTCCTTTTCTCCTTCTCCTGATTAATATGACCCAAATCCCCTCCCTCTCCTCGCCCATGGCTCCTGAAACCCAATGGTAGTGTTCCATCAGCACTTAAGTCTTTGTCTGTCCTGCATCACGCCCGCTTGTGCCTCTAGACTGCGAGCTCCTTGGGGCAGGGACCTGCTGTTTCTTTGGCACGGTGAGCCGGGTGCTGTACGCTTTACAGCCCCATACAGAGACTTAAGGGCAGCAGCCTGGGAGAGGGAGGGACACACGCTGCCCTTCCCTATCCTGAATTGCAGCTAGTGAGCTTGGATTCTCTCTCCTGTTTTGGAAACTGACCTGCTTCTGTGGGAGGAGCAAGTTGTCATGGAGAAATCCCAGCCCCCTGAACCGTGATTGTGCCAGTTCTGGATAAACTAAGAGCGAAGGAGCCAGTGAGGAAATGGACTGGAGTTTAATAGTCTCCCATGCTGTTTCTTCGCCAGCTGGGACAAGAATTAAGGCCTGATCCCATTGACTTTGGCTCAGACCCTGTATCTCCTCCTTGTAGCAGTGGGGGAAGGGGCGGGGGGTAAATTCACATTTGAAAGCACTTGCACAAAAGTCCTATAGGATTTAATAGACAATGAGAATCTTCCCATGGGTGTTTTCACCATCCTATAGAACCTAATAGAGAATCAAGTCCCCAGTCTAGGATTCTGTTAATAAATGTCCTATGAGGGATCTCCTCTAAGAAGTTCTGTAGGATTTTAGAATAATGTATATAGAGCACTATTTGATTTAGCCTTATTAACTTCTGCAGGGATAAGGGTGCCTGTAATGTAGTGACATTCGTTCTGGACCTGGCTCTCTCCAGGCCCCATGAACACCACTGAGAGGATTTATTTATAATTAGATGGATTGCACCTATCCAGAGTCTCTAGGATTTTTTGTTCAACACCATCTATTTCTATTGCAGTAGCAGCTAGAAGGCCCTATCCCTACTGTGTTAGAGGCTGTACAAATGCCTAATGAAGAGACATTCCCTGCCCCAAAGCATTTACAATCTCAGTAATATGACTTGCCAAACAGCGGTTGAAAGCATCTTCCCCGGTGCTAGAACAGAACCAGCCCCCATAAACCCAGCTGTCCTAGGCAGGATGTAAGAATATAGTGTTACAAGCCCTTGTATGTCTGGGGAGATTTCTCAATGCAACAAACACTTGCCCATTACATACCCCAGCATAGCCTGTAACAAGCCCCACTGACAAAACTGGGTCTGTGGAGAGCAACTTGGGGCCTGGCTGGCCAAGGGATTGAAGGACTTGAAGCCCTGTATTTGTGCCCCTGCTCCTGCTTTGCATCCAGTATTTTGTGCTTTTATTCATTAGTTCAGCAGCTCCTAGGGGCCCCATTGTGCATAGGCGCTACATGTGCACTTAGTAAAATAGTCTGTGCCCCAAAGAGCTCTGAGTGTGGGGGTTTCAAAGGAGCCCAATGGCATTATATTCCCATTTCCAATTTCATTGGAATTCGAGACGCCACAGACAAAGGTTGGGAGGAGAGCCCGGCAGGGTGATGCAGTGACTTGCCACAAGTATCTCACCGCAGATCCGTGGCAGAGCTGGGAGTAGAACTGAGGTCTTCTGACTCAGTCCAGCGTGCTACCCACAGGACCACACTGCCTCTTGAGCTAGTCCTCCCACTGGCTGTCTGAAACTCTGTGCACTGAATTGCGCTGAGCCCTTCTGATCGTAAGGGGCCCATGCCTCAGCAAAGAACCCATTAGGATTCGATTTAAGGCTAGAGGGTACTAATTACCATAGGCTGCCTCCTTTCCTTTCCTTTTCCTTTTTTTTTTTTTTTTTTTTTTTCCTTAACCCGCAGAAGGCTGTTGTCTGAGCGGCGTAGCCATCTCCCATAGCGACCCCCTTTTCCTTAAGCCTGCCAACCAGCAGCTTTTCTGTGCCCATGGGGTCTCATGCTTCAGTGTGCTGCTGCTTTCTTTTCAGTACGTGATCCCCTGCGATAAAGTGTCGTCCCTTCCCGTCGTCACTCTCATGCTAGGAGGAAAGCCCTATGAGCTCACCGGAGAACAGTACATCTTCAAGGTGAGTCCAGAGCAGCTTCTACCCAGCTCCCTTTCCTACGCTAGCTCTTCTCACCTAGACGTAGGAGGCAGGGCTGTCGTGGTGAAATCCTGGCCCCTCGGAAGTCAGTGGTAGTCTTACCACCTCAGTAGAGTGGGGGTTTCACCCCAATCCCCATGTGAGTCCTGCCAGGATAGTGCCTGTTCACTGCTGCAAGGTTAGCTGCTTGCCAGTCCTATCTGAGTCCGCGTCATAACCTCTTCTAGTCAAGAGAGCAGGCAAGTCTCCAAAGCAGGATATGTGGAGCAGGATCAGCCCAGAGCTTCAATCACCGGGTCTGACTGTCACCTCACTCACTCTGGTCTAAATCAGAAGTAACTCTGCAGAGAGTTAGACCTGTGTGTGTAAGGTCAGAAATGGTTCCATGCACTACGGTTCCAGATGGTACCCCTGCGTGCCAGACTCAGGGAGAAACATGAGTCTGAAGAATCAGGATGTTGTCATGCAGATTTCAGCTGCTGGGTCTGTAGAGAGCAGTGGAGACCTCCACTGGTTTGTTGCAGTAGTAGGAGACGGCTAAGGCCTTGTCTACACTTGCAAGTTAGAGCACATTAAATCAGCCCTGGGCACCCTAACTCCTGAGATGTCCACACTGGCAAGGCACTTAGAGAGCCTGGACTCCACAGCTGGAGCGCTCCTGGTAATCCACCTCCACAAGAAGCATAGAGCTTTCTGCACCCGGACTGAAGTGCTGGGGTGTCAGTGTGAATGACTGTTGCATTACTGTGCTGTGATTGGCCTCTGGAAACATCCCATAATCCCTTGAAGTCAAGTGGCCACTCTCGTCATTGTTTTGAACTCAGCTGCAGGCATGCGGCTATCCCCTTTCAAAGCTCCGTTTCTTACAGCCGGCATGCTTATCTGCTCCAGGATAAAGCAACCATTACTGTGGATTGCTCCTGCTGCAGAGGCAGGCATTTGTGCATGTGTGAGAGAGAGGTGGGGGATGGGGGCTGATGTTGGGGTTTCCCCTTCCCCCTGCCGCTGTCTGAACTTACAAGACAGCATGCTGACACACACTCTGCCCCCCAAAACACACAGTCTCTCCCCCTACATACACACAACACACTCCCTGTCACACTCCACCCCTATCCCCCCATTTGAAAAGCAGCTGGCAATCTATTAGGATGCCCTGGAACAAAGGGATTGGGAGACCTGCATCATGTGACACTGTGCCTGCCCCATTAGGCATTGCAAACCCTTTCCAAAGAACGCTGCAACCACTTGCACACTGGGATAGCTACCACAATGCACTGCTTTCTGTGGCGTTGCAAGAGCTGCTAATGTGGACATGCTCCACAGTCACAAGGAGCACAGTGTGAACACACGGCAGTGCTTTCGCTGCTGCTGTCTCTGAGGGCTGGTTTAACTCCTGGTGCTCTACATCTGCAAGTGTAGATGTAGCCTGAGTAAAGCCATCAGCTCCTGCAGTGGATGAAACTAGGGAGGCAGGGTGAGCAATAATGGACAGGACATCATGTGACTCTTTCAGTACCTCTTCTACTATTGTAGTCCATCTGCCACTGGGTTTGGAGCGCTCAGGGCCAGACCCTGTCATGATAGATGATGATGATCACAGTTAATACCTCATACCACGTAGAGTCAGTTCCACCAATTGGTGCCCTAGAGCCGAGCTTGTGGGAGGGCGGGGGAAGGGATGAAAGACTCGTCCTTCTACTGACCTTCTCACTCTTTCCTGTAGATTTCTGTACAGGGAGAGACCATCTGCCTGAGTGGATTTTCAGCCCTGGACATCCCACCTCCCGGGGGCCCACTGTGGATCCTGGGAGACGTGTTCATTGGCCCCTACTACACAGTGTTTGACCGTGATAATGACTCTGTTGGCTTTGCCAAGTGTGTCTGAGCGCCTGCCCCACCACCCCTGCCACACACGCACTGTAGAGAGTGAGTCCCAGGATTAAGAAGCAAATGAGGAAATAAAAGAAATGGAAATAGATTTAAAATTAAAAAGGAAGCAATATTAGTGCCCTCTTAATGACCCTTTGCCATCTCTTGAATAAGTGATAATCAGAGAGCTCTAGCGGATCATTCAATCTAGAGCAGCCCCCGCCTTGTTAGATCTTCCAGCTCCATTTTAAATATTAGCAAATGAAGTCATGACTCCAAGCACCCGCCTCGCAAATAGGAGAGCTAGCTCATGAGATCCATGTGATGATTCCACTCCTCCTGCAGAGAACCTACATTGGTAATGGTCATTAGATTCACTGTTATACTGGGAGGGGATGAGGGGGTTATATATGTACATGCAGAAAACTTTCTCCTTACTCCTCTTCTCTAACCAATGACAGGGTGGGGAAGCTTAGTCTGGCGGCTCTCAATGTGCTTCCTTGTGAGACTGATTTCTCTTGTGGAGCTGAGGAGGGTGATCGAGAGATTGCCGCATGAGCCATCCCTTAAAATACACAAGGGAAGGCTTAGGATCAAAACACATTAGCCGAGTTTCTTGTGTCGTGGCAGCACAATGGGAGCACTTGGTGTGGTGTGACCATCTCTATTGACGTGTCTCACTGGGCAGGGATGACAAGAGGGGCTCCAGCCAGTAGAACCCTCAGGGAGCAGAAACAGGAAGGGGACCGTGGTAGGATTTGATAATGGTCTTTGAGTTCATGTCCACTTAAGGCTGAGCAAACCAGTTCAGATAAAATAAGAGATGACCCAAACTTCTTACGTTTGAAATAGTTTTGTTGGTTGGGGTTTTTTTTCTTAAAGTTCTACAGTTTGGGAAAATTTGTCAAGAGCTATTGAGCTGAGAGCTAATTTTTTTTTTTTAAAGCATTTAAGTTACCTAGAAGCCCTAGGTCCTACTGACAGTCAATGGGGTTTAGGTGCTTTCAAGTCACTTAGCTGCTTTTGAAGATTTTACTCGTGGTATTTTTGATCTGATCAAACCAGAGACTATTGGCAGTCAATCAAGAGACTTGCAAGACTTCCAGAGGTTTGGGGAAGCATCTCAAGTTCCAGGTGCTTCTCTTTACCAAACCTCTGAGCCTTTGGAAGCCAATTCATCTCTACTCTACACTCCCTATTCCGAACCCTAGCTTACTTTTCTCATTCAAAACCAGGTAAATGCACACCGTGCTATACAAATATAGAGTGAGGCGCATTGCCTGCTCTGGAGAGCTTACAGTCAATGGTCATGCGCGCAGACCCACACACTCCCAGGCAAGAGCCAGCAACTACGTATGCAAAACTGTTCACCCTGTCGGGCCCTTACACAAGACAAACATGGGGCAGCAGTCCAGGGGAGGGACTGCAAGTCGTGATTGGTGGACAGATGGGGGATAAAGTGGGTTTTAAGTAGGGTGTTGAGGAAGTGGGAGAGAGTGAGCTTGGTAGAGTTATCAAGGCTTTGAGCCAAAGCCCACTGAAGTAAACAGAGACACTCCCGTGGGCTTTGGCTTGGGCCCCCAAGTGTATAATGCAGCACGAGCGATGGCACAACACGGAGGGTGAAAAAGAAAAGTCAAAGATGCAGATCGTGCCCTGGTGTGAGCCAGCATAACACCAACAGTAGCAGTAAGGTGAGAGGAGTGGGAGTAATGTATGCATGAAATAGGAGCCCACTGAAGTCAATTGGAATTTTGCCACTGACTTTAGTGGAGCCAGGATTTTGCCAGGTAGTGAGAGCAGTAATGTGCCTGGGGGCATATAGGAGGCCAGTCACACTAGGGAGCATACACACTTTTCCCCAGGCCCAAGCCAACATTGAGCGTGCCGTCGGGGGAGAGAAAAGGACTGCCAGTTAATCCGGATGTTCAGGGAGAATGGGAAGGAGAGGAGCTAAAACGAGTCACATCACAGCAGCCTGCTGAGCGCCACCCTTTTCCAGTCCATTGCACCTGTGAGGAGTTTGCTAACGTTGACTCGGGCTTTAATAACAACCTCTGCTGCTCAGACTGGGCCGGATTTCGTTTGGCGTACTTAATGCTTACAATCATTACTCTTACTCAGGCCCCTGGAAGGGGCTGCCTGAGGCAGCTGTGACTGGTGTGAATGTAGGCGCTCTAATAGACGCGTCGGTCTGCACAGCCCCAGGAATGATAAATACGCTGTTCCCACCGTAGCCTGCTGTCTGTGCCCACTCTTCAGCTGCTGCCTCGGATTGGAAGCTGAAGGCATCTGTTACAGCCTAAAGACCTGGCTGGAGAACAATGGTGTATTCCCAAAACCCATCAAACACAGATACTCAGCTGCCCTCCAGAGAGTCCCATTTGCAAATTGATCAAGTGCCCAGAGCTCTTTAAAGTTTTGCTAAATTCTTTCTCAGCTGAAGAATTTATCCCATACAGTGATTTAAACGTAGAACTTTTCTTAGATGCCCATTACTTAGATTTGGTGGAAGGTAAAACTCTAGCAGGGAATTGACTGTAAGCTTAGATTTTATTAAGGATCTATTTTTAACCCCTTCCAAAACAGGCACAGGATATTCTATGAAGGAGCTATTGTACAGTAATTGCTGTTAAACATATAATGCCCTATATTGTACATTCTGTAGCATCTCACTGGTAACACGGGGCCAATTTCTGTCGTCAGACATGCAGGACGTTTATATCTGAGGGAAGAATTTGGTCCATAGTGATGCCCTAAAAGACACATCTCATGACAGGCTGGGGGAGCAGTTTATTTGACATAACACATTTGCAATGCAAAGATTGTGCTGCTTCTGAAATCAGACTCTTCCCCTTGTTGTTTTACTTGTGTTTTTCAAACAGAGCTTGAAATACTGTTTGACTTTCTTTTCTGGGCAATATGATTTGCTGTCAGAATTACTGTCTCTCATTTTATTATAGAAAATTGAAATGAAAACATCTTTTCTCCCCTTTACCTTGTGGCTGTTTTCTTTTGAGTAGTTTGGAATTGCCAAGGTGTAGTGAGCACTTCACTTAGGTCAGGCATTACATTAAGAGGTGGGGGGGAAAGCAGGAAGGGTGGAGGACCTGGTGAACTTAAAATCACTTCAGGGTTGAAATGGGGGGGGGGGGGAGGAGGATAGATATTCTCCCAAGCTCCACCCACAAGCCAACCTCTGCCTCCTTGAGATGTGAAAAGGAAACACTGCTCACAGTACATTGTACATATGTTCAAAATATGCTCAGATGGGCTTCTTCGAGTAGCCTCTCCACGCTGGGGTTTGAATGTCCCACTGGGCTCTTCAGGAGTGGCTCCCCGTGAATGGTGCTCGGAGGCCCGCCTGGGCTTTGCTCTTCCCCTCTTGCCTTCTAGTTCCACAGGTCAGATTTGGAGTGAGGAGTGGGGCAGAGGAAGCTGTGATAGCTCCACTTGTGGCATTGCTATGAAATGTCAGTCAGAGCAGATCGGGCAGAGCATAGCAATGGGCTCCTTACTCGCCTTTCTTACAGAGGTTCAAGCTGTAGTGAAATATTTAACACTGTTGACATTTACATTATCTTCACTGGTAATCTGAGGTAACGTGCCTTTGAGATACATGGGCCAGTTCACATCTCTCAGACCTATTGGTTCAGGCTCTCTGCAAACAGAGGCAGGCAGAACTGTGTCAGTTACAGAAGGTTTACCTCTCAGCCATTAGGGATAGAAGCATACTGGCCTGTATTTTTACATTATTAAAATGTTAGGTTGAGATTCTGTAAAACAATATGCCAACCCCCTATCACTGACCCAGTGCAACCTAGCCTAATTGGAGCTCTGAAACCACCCCAGCAAGCACCGTTCTGCTCTATGTAATGCCTGCTCTAATTTACATAATCTCCTAATGACCATTATAACACTAACTCCTAGCTTTTATCAGCAGTAGATCTCTCAGTGCTTTGCAAAGGAAGGCAGTGTGGTTATTTCCATTTTACAGATGGGGAAACTGAGGCACAGAGTGGCAATGGGCCTTGCTCAAGGTCACCCACCAGGCCAGTAGTAGAGCTGGGAACAGAACTGCCATCATCCAGTTCTTGAGCCTCTCGTCCACATAACAGTCAAGAGGAAGGGAATGCCCAGCCACTCCCACTGTGTGGTCCTCAGGAAGGGGGCAGTGCAGCAAATATTACACAAGCACTACGCATTGAAGGAGCCACCTACCATAAGATAATCCTCTCATGACCAGCTGTACCAGCGCTAGTACCTCTTTGTGTTGGAGATATGGCATAAAGCAGACCCACACAGACACACACACACACACCCAATGGCCTGTGAAAAATCAGGACAGGGGGTAGGGAGTAATAGGAGCCTATATAAGAAAAAGACCCCAAAATCGGGACTGTCCCTATAAAATCGGGACATCTGGTCACCCTAGTGGCTACTGGGTTTTTTCAGCTGTCCTCTGATCACGCTGTTTATTCCAGTATCAGAGGGGGTAGCCGTGTTAGTCTGTATCCACAAAAACAACGCAGAGTCCGGTTGCACCTTATAAATCTGTTAGTCTTTAAGGTGCCACTGCCTCCTTGTTGCTGTTTATTCCAGGCAGCTGGGCCTGAAAACACAGGTTTTCCCCACACGCAGTTTGCTCATATTGCCACTAGGAGATGCTGTTTTCACTGCTGTGGCCACCAGAGGCTAGCAGTCATTACTGCTCCCTTGCTGGCTTTACTGCTCTCTGCTCTGAGTGCTTTCTGCATCCCCAGTAGCCAGAGGGGTTTCAGCTCCCTTCAGGGAAGTGAGAAAGGGCAGAGAAGGAAGGGGAAGAGTGACCCAAGACAGGAAAGGAAGAGGGGGGCACAGCTGGCTGAGGGAGAGGGAAAGGGGAGTCACAACAATGGTCTGATTTTCAAAGGTGCTGAGCTCCCACTGACATCCCATTTTCAGCCCTTCTGAAAATAGGGTGACCAGATGTCCCGATTTTATAGGGACAGTCCCGATTTTGGGGTCTTTTTCTTTTATTGGCTCCTATTACCCCTCACTCCCTGTCCCGATTTTTCACACTTGCTGTCTGGTCACCCTATTTGAAAATTGGGCCATTAAAGTGACAGGAAGGGGAGAGCAGAGGGGAGGGTTCACAAAGCTGTAGGGGAGAAGAACAGGCCTGGCCTTGGATCACCTTGGAAGGGGCCAGAGGGCCGCTGTCTGTCCCATGCTTGCACTCCAGCCTACCTTCCGGAGACAAGAGGTAAGAGGGAGATGGGGTCCATTGCGGGAAGGGAAGGGAAAGTTGTGCAACCTGGTGCCTCCAGCAGAGGTTTTGGATGTTTCCTCACCCCATTGGGATGCTCCCAGGTGTAGTGTTGTGCCGAGCTCATGCTTTAAAACGTGTGCAACTTGCCTTGTGACTAAACACAAAGGCATATTGCATTGGGCCACAGTGGCAAGGCAGCGGAGGAGGGCGGGATTAGTGCAGTTTTGGTCTTGTAGAGGAGCCAACCTATAACAAAAGCTGCAGACCATCACTGGGAGGCCTTGATCATTCCCATACTCCTATCGAAACACCCTGAAACTCACCAGAATGCGCACACACTGATTCTCCAGTACTCTGCACCTCATTTACATTTGGGACAAGGTTCTCTACCCCTGCTGGCCAGGTGGCTCAGTGTCCACCACCACTCTCAACTTTTGTCCTGCACTGCAACATTATTTCATTAATTTTTGCAATGCAATTTTTAACATTAACAATCTGATTCATTTGCCCTTCCTCTGCCATCTCCCTCCACTTACTGCATTCTCTCCACAACTAAATTCATTTGACTTAGTTGATAACTTCATCTGTATTAAAATTTTCCACCAACACAGAGAAGATCAACAGTACGCACCACATGTACAGAACAGTAAATATGATACCCTCGCTCCAAGAGTCCAATTCTCCTCTTGCTGACCCTGCTGCAAAGCAGTGAATTACTAAATACTAAGCAACGAATCAGCTGAAGTCAATGCAATTACACCAGTGTAGAGCTCATATAAATGAATGGAAGATCTGACCCCATGTTCTTGGAGGCAACACTCTCAGACACTCAGGGCAGTATCTAGAAGACAATCTCTTGCTTTTGAAAACTCTTTTTACTAAAAACAAATGATGAAGCACTTTTGTCTTGGGGTTGGTTGTTTTCTTTTTCCTCTGATTTTTTTATTTTATTTTTTGGTTCCTTTGGGAGGGGAAGAGAGGTGGAATGCAGCTTAAAAGCTAGAGGACAGGAGAGAGAAAGCATGGGGGAGGAGGCCTTGCCCTTCCAAATGTCAAACAATATTATTGTTCAGCTTGCTTAGAATTCAGTAGCGAGAATTTCAAAGAGTGGGGCTAGGAAAGGGGCGCCATAGGGTTGCTGCTGTGTTTCCTCCCCTGAAAAGTTGAGCAGTTCAGTCCTACATAACTCTATTGGGCAGGGCAAGGATGGTGTCCCTAGCCCTCTGTTTGCCAGAAGCTGGGAATGGGTGACAGGGGATGGATCACTGGATGATTACCTGTTCTGTTCATTCTCTCTGGGGCACCTGGCATTGGCTGCTGTCGGAAGACAGAATACTGGGCTAGATGGACCTTTGGTCTGACCCAGTATGGCCATTCTTATGTTCTCCCAGTGTTGCTATTCTGGTTCTAGTAGGGAGAGTTCAGTTAGTGTTGCCAACTCTCCTGATTCTGTCATGAGTCTCACAGTATTTGAGGTTTTTTAAAGCCTTCCCCCATATCAAGTGATAACAAGAGAATCTCTTTGGGCAGGGATTGTCTTTTTGTTTTGTGTTTGTACAGCACCTAGCGCACTGGGGTCCTGGTCCTAGGCGAGGGCTCCTAGGCACTACGAATACAAATAATAATCTCAGCTTTCATTTGTAAAAAAGGAGATGTTGAGCCTTTATGGTTGTAGAGAAAAGCTTGAAAATATGACCCCTAAAGGCTCAGAAACCAGGAGGCAAGTAAAAGAATGAAAAATGTAAATGAAAGTAAACCCTCATGATTTTTTAAGCCAATTTCATAATTTTTTCAGGCTTGACTCATGATTTTTTAATGCTTAGAAATACTGAGTATGTAACATTCTGTTCAACAGTACGGTGACCATGATAATATACTGTGTGATAGATTATACAGCACTTGCCATCTTGAAAGATTATGAATTAATTATAATTAAGAAGAGATCCCAAAGTGGTTTGCAAGCTATGGGGCTGTCTGGCACCCACTGAAATCAATGGAAAGAGTCTCATTGGCTTCAGTGGGCTTTGGCTCAGGCCTTGTTTACAGGACATACAGCATCATTGAAATGCTCCCGCCTCTGAAGTGGGATGGTGGCAGCCAGCTGGTGCGGGTGATTTTTTGGCCATGGAATCTAGGGCCAAAGCGCACGCGTATGGGGTGCTGTGGTACCTAGGCAGAGCAGACAGGACCTTGGTTTTTAAAGTCTCATCTAAAAGAGCCACATGTATGTAGTAAACTCCATTGGACCCCATTCTCAGGTGCATACTGGCAGCATAAAGGGACCTTACAGGGGATGGGAAGAGTCCTCTGAGAATACCCACTGTGCAGGGGGCTTCTCCAGCTGAGGCAGGCCAGGCATTAGAGTTTTGCTGCTGCCCCATGCCCAGCCCTTAGTGTGGAGGGCAGGGAAGGGGAATGGCCAAGGTGCACCACCCTTTCTGGCTATTCCCTGCTTCTCAAAGACCATAGAAGGCCCTGGGAAGTAGAGGTGTAAGTCAAGCAGCCCTGAGGCTGCTCTGACTTACACTGGTGGCCAGATAAGCCCCAGAATAACACTAGAGGACAGAGAGTGTGAATACAGTGTAAAGACACCCATGCCCCTTCTCTTCCGGCCCTGCCCTAAGCACAGGGACAGGGTAACTGAGAATCAGGCCTATGGAGGCTATAAGAGGGATGAAGGCATGAGTCAACGCTGCTGGCAATTGAACCTGTGGTTCCAGAAAGCCTATGGAGTTTTAAGCATCTTCTGACACGATGGCACATTAGGGACTCTTGTAAAATGTAAACCTTTAGTTCCATAGCGATAGCAATAGATTGTTAAAGGAAACCTAACTCTGAGGGAAACACGCTGGCCTTTATATTAGTAAAAGGAGGAAATAAGAGCTGCAGCAGTGACAGAAGAGGAGATTGCAGCTCAGGGTCTCCCGTGACTCAGGCTCTGCTCCCATAATTTGTGATGGCATCCGCACCTGCTTTTGAATGGAAATATGGCCTGATAGTCCATGGCTGCCGCTTGCTGCTTTCTCCTTGTGTGGCTTTCCACATAAATCTCAGAGCACAGATCAGCTGTCACCTTTACACAAAAGACAATCAGGGAGGTGGATAGCAAAGGAATGGAGTCAGATCTGAACAGGCAGTGTCACCCCACTCCTCCGCACACCTTCCCAGCCACACCCAGGTAAACATTCTCTCTTGCTGGTGTCGTAAACAGCCGCGCCATGTAGCCTGCCATAACGATCCCCTAAGGCAGGCTTTCCCAGGCCATGGGGCTGAGTCCCACGGGTGGGGCCTGAATTTCTTGCCTTACTCTTTTGTTAGAATCTGGAAAATAAGAAAATGCAAATGGCTACCTGGGGATTTTTTTGTCAGCTACCCCGTGTGTGTGTTCCGGCTGCAGCTGGTTTCTCATGCACCCAGTTAGGGCTGCAGGGACTGAGCAGGGATTAGGGATTCCCCGGCAGTCACTCCTCCCTGCTGGTGGAGGCTGGCACTGAGAGCAGGGAGACTCTCTCCTCATCTGCCCTCAGTGCTTCTCCTACAGGTGCCCACCCAGCCAGCAGGTGCAGGAGAAAGCAGTAGTCTCCAAGCCTTGCCAGCAGGCAGCACTGTGGTGAGGAGCTCAAGGGGGAATGGAGGCTTTCCTTGAGCCTCTTCCTCCCCCTCCCCTGCCACAGCCTATACCCATTTGAGCCCTGGGGAGATTGACAAGTCACTGTCCAGTCTGGATAATGTCTGCAACCAGGAACAAGCTCCAGCATCCCTCTGGAGCGAGCCAGGGTATCTCTGGGCTGGTATAGCTGCATGCACTTCAGAATTCTCCTTCCTCATCAACAGCTGCTCTGTAGAAACATTGTCTCCAGTGCACAGGAAGGCGGGGCCTGAGCTCCTTTGCTGTGATAACACCTGATAGTGCCCCTCCAGGCACAGCTTCTCAGGTGTTGCACTAACTCATTGCCTGCCAGGCAGCCTGAGGGTTCAGGCTGTCTGATGAAGGCTTGGTGGCAGCTATGGGTGGCTGTGGAGCCTGGGCGGCTCAAAGTTTCCCACCCCTATCTTGCAGAGCTCAGCCCTTTCTCTGTCTAGGCTTCTCACAGAAATAAACCGGTTCCCCTGAATTACCTTCAGCATCACTTCAGACTCGCTTCGTTGGGGGGAACCAGCCTCGGCTTCTAACAGTATCCAGCTACTGGGCCAGAATATTGGATAAAGCAAACAGACCATGATATTTAGAAAGGAGACGCTGTCGTGTCTCCCTAGCTGTGCTCTTTCCTCTCTTTCCTTTTATTCTTCCTATTGGTTAGGTTTTCTTCTTCATGTCTGGTTTTAATTCAGTATTTCTCAGTGCCCGTATTTCCCTTAGTTGATTATTTTTGATTAAAGACCCATCTTTCTCTCCCTCGCTTTCTAACACGTTTGGATCTGGCCTCTTTTCCCCAGTCCATTTTTCACCTTCTGTGGGGGTTTTTCTCCACTATTTTTTCTCCTATTCTCCCTTCTCAGTGCCAGCTTCTCCCCTCTCCTTCAGCCCCCATGCCTTCGATTCTCTCCCCTCGACTTCTAAAGCAGTCTTGTTGGTCCTGTCTCTCCACCAGTCCTCCCCTCCACACCACTATTATTTCTCTCCAGTTTTCTTGCCTCACTTCCTTACTTGTTCCTCAGAACAAGTTCCAGGTTTCACAGGGTGAGTGGGTGATGGAGTAATTTTTGGTGTGTTGCACTCCAAATGCAGGTGAGCTGATGGCCCTGTCCATATAGAAACATAAGAACTACATCACCAGATCAGAGCAGTGGTTCATCTAGTCTAGTATCCTGCCTCCAACAGTTGCAAGTATCAGCTGCTTCATAGTAAGGTGTAAATAATGCTGTAAAGGACAATTATGAAACGGGAAGTTTCTTTGTCACCCTCACCAATTTATATCCCTTATAATTTTTCTCTAATGTGTCTGTAGATGTTCTCATTAGCCATATAAATGTCTAATCCTTTTAGGAATCCTGCCTCAATAAAATCTTGTGACAGTGAGTTCCACAGTTTAATTGTACATAGTATGAAAAAGTATTTCCTTTGATCAATTTATTCTGTATATTTCTAAACTATCCCAGTCTTTCCAATATTTTCTCCTACTGAAGTCTTCCCATATGTCAAATCATTTTCCTTGCCTGTATTTCGTTCCCTTCTATTTATCCTTTTTGAGATGGATTGACCAGAACTGAGCATGGTATTCAAAATGAGGACATCCCACTTATGTATATAATGGCACTATAATATTGTTGCCCTTTGGCCCAAGCAGTTAGCCAGTATTTGGGACTTGGCAGGGTTTTGTCTGTTAGGGGGAGAATTTGATGATAGGACTCAGGTATCGATGGAGCAATCCTGTTTATTTACAAAGAGTGTGCACAAAAGTCCTGTTCCCCTGAATACAATAGGAGCAAACCTCTGTCCACATGGCTTAGCTCTGACTTGCCTTGGGTGATTCCACCCCAATAGTCTGCAGTTGTTTTTAGTACATAAAGTGGCTTGATTGATCATTCTGTTGAGAGTACTTGGCACACCCATTGGCTTTAATGAGGTCTGTTATTGCCTTTGGATCTAAGGCTATGGCTATACTAGAGAGATTACTGAGATGCAGCTGTTCCTCTGCAGTTCTGCCGCTATAAGGTCTCCTGTGTAGCCACTCTATGCCGATGGGAGAGAGCTCTCCTGCCGGCATAATTTAAACCACCCCCAACAAGCAGCAGTAGCTATGTTGGCGGGAGAACATCTCCTGCTGACATAGCACTGTCCACACCGGTGCTTTTGTCGGTGAAGCTTATGTTGGGCAGGGGTGTGTGGTTTTTTTCAGCCCCCTGACCGACAAAAGTTTTGCCGACAAAAGTGCTAGAGTAGACAAAGCCTGAGACTCGCATGGCGGCAGCCATTAGCACCTTTCAACGTAATAATATTTTCAATATTTATTATTTTCCACTCCTTTCCTTATACATCACAACGTTTTGTTTCCACTCTATGTTGAGCAGAGGTTTTGATTCAACTGTCCAGTTACCCGCAGGTATTTTTCCAGATGTAAAGTTGATTTAGAATCCAGCAATGTGTATGAGTACTTCAAAGTATCCCTTTCTATGTACAGAGAATCCCTTTCTATATACATTACATTGCATTGAGAGACAAAGTGGGTGAGGGAATATTGGACCAACTTCTGTCGGTGAAAGACAAGCTTTTGAGCTTACACGGAGCTCTTCTTCAGACCTGAAGAATCATGGGACCAACATAGTTACAACACTGCAAATTACATTACATTGATCAATAGTGATAATCATCTGCCCATTCACCTCGCTTTCTAGGTCCTACACACCGTCTCTCGTCTTGACTTACCTAAATAATTGCGTGTCACTGCAATACTTTGCCACCTTATGGTTCATTCCCGTTTCCAGATCGTAAATGATGATATTAAAGGCACGAATCCTTACATGGAACATTGTGGCTCCCTACTGTTAATTTTTCACCATCTTGAAAATAGACTATTCCTTCTCTTTGTTTTCTCTCTGTAAGCCATTATGTTATCCTAAGGAGAACTTTACCTCAGAAGCCGCACTGGTGAACCACTCTCATAACGTGGCCATTCATGTGTCTTACAGTTCTGTTTTTAATTATCATTTCAACACGAGCATCCCTCGTTTTTACTGCTTTCCCTGCCCCACCCAGTGCCACAAATCGCATCCACCAACCTTCCAGCCAAAGAGGACTGGATGCAATTCCGTGCCTGTCTTCACCATGACTAGTCCACTACTGCAGAGCACCTTTAGTGGCTTTCGGGCACCACCTTTATGCTTGTACCCTCTGGGACAATCTGAAAGTTGTGACCTTGCTGCATTGGCCACCCCACAAAGTGAGGTCGTTAGGTTGTGAAGTTGGGTGAGCTGGGTTGTTTCAATGTAGCTTTTGGGATAGGTAGAAAGCAGAGAGGGGAACCATTTAATTCAACCCCTGCCAACAATAGGGACGCGCAGAAAACCGGACCCAGATCCCAACCCTTCCTGGCTTTTCCCATCCTTAATGACATCCATCCATCTCCTCCTCTCTGTAGCTGAGTGCACTGCTTCCTGTGTGCTTCCAGCCGCTGTTGGCCTGGGGATGCTTCTCTCTTGTTTTGATTGCATGTGCATGTGTCTCTCTCCCTGCATGCAGAATCTATCCAATTTCTATCCATTCCCCATGACCGGAGCGCAAACGCCGCTGAACACCCTCCCCGCATTAGACTTGTGCTCCCAGCGTTTGGTTGACCAGACAGCCCTGTACGGCGTGTGTATGTTTGGTCTAGGTTACCAAGGCCTCGGCAGCGACTCCATAGTTAAGGCTGCATCGAAATCTCTCCTTAAATATCTCGATGGAGGTGGTGGATGGTATCTGTCTGAGGTGATCTTCCCAGCGAGCGCGTGCACCGATGCCCACACCCTCGAGCCATGCGCCTGGGAGATGTGCCTTCCTGGCAGGTAGGTGCAAGGAAACATGAGCCAGAAGGTCATGCTCGTGGGCTGGGAGGGCATGAGAAAAGAGCATCGGTGACTGAGATTAAGTGGAGCTCTCCTGCCCAAAGGCTGTAATGAGCATGTGCGCCTTGAACTGTTTGTTTCAGGGGGATGCTAGTTGACCTCTTCCTCCCCCACTGTCCACCCCCCGCTTCCTCTCCTTCACCAACTCCAGTTATTAAGAAAGCAGAGCCGGAGGCAGTGCTGAGCCGGAGATGCAGCAACTCCCTGCATTCCTCCTTGTGAGTATCCCTCGCTCTCTCCTCTTGCGCCTTTCCCGAGGAGACGGATGGATGGACAGCCGGGTGGCTAGAGGCAGATGGTTCCTGCTAATTACACAGCTAATGGGGTGGGGAGCAGGAGACCGCCTCTTCCCAGCTCCCCCTCACCCTCCTCTGTCCTCGCCCCTTCTTCCGCCTCTCGCCTCGGGGTTGGCCATGCAGGAAAAACTGCTGACAGGTGAAAGGAAATGGGAAATTCAGTTACATCAGGAATTCCAGGGAGATGAGGACTCAGAACAAAAAAAAAAAGAAAAAGAAGAAAAAAACAGAGGGCGAGAGAGAGAAGCCAGTGCTGCGCTGCTGCAGCTGCACAGCCAGCTGGATTGACAATCATTTAACCTCCCCCCAGCAACCAGCTTCGATCCTGGAATGGGACAGAGAGCAGCAGGGCCCTGATGGATGGACAGGGCGGGGGGAGGGTAACGCTGGAACGGCGCCTGTTTGGAAACTCTCTTTGGAACCTCCCCTCCCCCTTCTTCGGACATGTTGTTCTTTCTTTCTTTCTTTCTTTCTTTCTTTCTTTTAAAGAAACAAAAGCAGCCGCTGTCTCCCATTCCAGCTTATGTGGGGGGCCAAGTGAGGAAACAGCCACATGCTTTATTGCTGGGGCGCTCCTGCTGCAAAGGCTTTTGGCAGCGATAATGTGGGACGGTGGGAGTAGAGGAAGAGGGTGACAGATGTCAGAAGCTCCTCGAACTCTCCGGCTATTCTGCGAAGTGGGGCGGGGGGAGACAGAGCATGCTGCGGGAGCTGGGACAGCCAGCTGCATGGAGAGCAGGAACTGTTCCACTGCTGCATACATTACAGACTGCTCAGTGTGCAGGAGAATGCTCCTTTGTGGTACATGAGTGTAAATACTATTCTCTGTCTCCTCCCCCTCCTCTACCCTGCTCTCCTCCCTCCCCTCTACCTACTCCCTCTCTCTTCTCCCCAATCTCTCCTTTATCCCTCTGCCTCTCCTTTCTCTCTTCTTCCTCTCCTCCGTTTCGCCCCCTTGATCCCCCCTGCTTTATTTCATCCCCGTCATTCTCCGTTTCCCCTCCCCACCCCCAATCTTTCACAGGGGATTTCACTTTGCCAGGATACAGTCTGGTAAATTTGCAGCAGCCACCACGGAGAGAACACAGGAACCCCCCTTGGGCCCGCCGTGTCCCTTTGACGGAGCATTCTGGATTCAGAGACCCCCCCAGCAGGGGTGCTTTGCTGGCATTCCAAAGCCTCCTGCCATCCCACAAGCTTCGCCTGCCCTATCTCCCTCTTCGGCTGTTTGCTACATGGAGAACAAGAGCTGCAAAGGGGACAGCCTGCGGCCAGCTGTCCAGTGCAAACACTCTGTCGAGAAGAAGACAATGACCAACCCCACGACGGTGATTGAAATCTACCCAGACACCACCGAGGTGAACGATTACTATCTCTGGTCCATCTTCAACTTCGTATACCTCAACTTCTGCTGTCTCGGCTTCATCGCCTTGGCCTATTCTTTGAAAGTAAGTACTGATTGCAAGCCACCCTGTGGGGAACACACTGAGCCAGAGCCATAGCTGGGGTAAATCGGTGCCGTGGCTGTTGAAGTCAACAGAGCAATGCCAGTTTACCCCTGTGGAGGATCGGGCCCTGTCATGTTAATACACATTGTCAGGGGAGATCTTGGGAATGGAAATGTTGTTTTGTGAGTGGTGTGGGTATCCATGGCATTCAGATACCAAGGTAAGGGGCATCACAGAAGAATCTAGATAGAGAGATAAGAGGAATCAGTGACGATGGCTCTGAATTGGCTTTTGTTGTGACTGGAGATTTATAATTCTCACTCGTCTGCGGGCTTGGTTATAGCGTAATTCTGAGAATTAGAACAGTTGAATTTACTACCAGGAGGACAAACAATTTCCTCCCCAGGTAGCCAGAATCCCTCAGCATCTGGAGACCTGCGTGGGGCAACCCCCATCGCCATAGGAGAGGGCTTCAACTGGTGGTGGGGAATCCTGAATGCCAATAGGCTATTGGGGGCTCCCAGGTGTATGATGATGATAAGAAGCTCTTTACATCCTCCCAGTACTTTGCAAATCAAACTTAATTCAGCCTGGCAACGTTTCTGCGGGGTGGGGGGGGAGGGAGGAGGCTGCGGGGGGGATAAGTATTATCCCCATCTTGCAGACAGGAACACTGAGGCACAGAGCACTGAGGTGACTTGGTGATGGTCCCAGTAGAAGTCCATCTTAGAGCTGGGAATAGAATCTTGGAAATCCTGCCTGGCAGTCCTGTGTTCCACGCACCAAAGCCTCTCACATCAGTCTGGTACCAGCATGCTGAGGCTCTACATAAGGTAGTTTAGCTAGAGGCACTGGGCCAGATCCTCAAATCATGTAAATCAGTGACTCCACTGACTGCAGGGGAGCTCTGGTGATTTATGCAAAGTCAAAGATCTGGCCCAGTACTGGAAAAGGAAGTCAGTCTTTTAAGAACTCCTTAGGGGGCTGATTAAATCTGGACTCAGCTGAGAGTCCTTCCATTGATTTCAGCAGGCTTTGGATCAGGTCCTTAGTGAGTGTTTCCTGGAGTATGGGGCTAGCGAGGGCTCCAAAGAGAAGGAAGGAAAAGAGCAACTGTGCAAACTGGAGGACCCGGGAGATCGGTGGGATTGGCTTTAAGCACAAATGCACCAAACGGCCACTTGTGCCCCAGCTCTTTTGTCCCCCCATCCCATCCTCTACAAGTTCTGCCACTCCGAGCCCAGCCCTTCCTCTTCTAGCAGTGGGACCAGAAAGGCATGAAGCAACTTGTTTCCTTCCCTGGCTCTGGCTAAAGCAGCAGTGAGAAAAGCAGCTCATGGCCTGCTTCTCCCCAGGGTCCCCTAAACCATAAGGCCAGCCTTGGAGACCTGCCAGGAATGTGAAAACGAGGTCTGCTAACTAAGGTGATGGAAGACCATGGAGGGCTTCATAAGGGAGGAATGGAAATAGATGCATGAATGAACTGGGAGCCAGCGTGCAGAGTGCAGCCCAGGGAGAATGGGACCTGAGTAGTTCGGGGTGGCCAGCCTGTATCCTGCAGCCTGTGTCCTGCTCTCTGTTTGCTGGATCACCCTCGAAATGGAGTCAGAGTCTGATTCTAAGAGGCCAGTTGCCCCAGTCTGCTACTCTTCTCTGAGGGCTCCAGACCTCTGCGTGTCTGTAAGATAACACTATCCTAAGGTAACGCTATCCTTTGAGTCCATGAAATCTTCCAGAATTATTCCCTGTAAGTGCCAGATGAGTACAGACCAGCTGGGCTGCAGGATTTCATTGCTGGTGAACTCAGCCAGCAAGCAGTTGCTAATCATCTGTCAAGGAAGAGAGGGTCTGAGGGTTTGGAGGGGTTTTGTTGTCGGGTTTTGTTTTGTTTTTTCATAAAAGCAATTAGATAATTATATATGTAAATGAGACCAGGCTCCTGGGTGGCCCTGAATGTGTCATGGTTTGGGTGGCCTCGGGGACAGGAATCTAGTGGATGTGTTTTGGCAGGCAGCATTTACAGGAAGGCCAGTGTACAGAGGGATTCATCACAGAAACAGATCAATTAACCCCATCTAACTCCAGTGACTGTGACTTCCACAAGAATACAAGGAGGCTGTTTCCGAACCAGCCAGGCCCTGGGGTTCTGTTATAGCAAAGGCAGTGTGGCCTAGACCACTGAGCACAGGGACTCTGATTGCCACTTGCTGGGTGACCTTGGGAAGTCCCTTACCTTCTCTGTGCCTCAGTTTCCCCATCCACGAAATGGGGGTGAGAATGCTCACTCACCTTCCTTGCAGGGGTGTCAGGAGGCTTAACTCACTGCTGTTTGTAAAGTGCATTGAATATAAAGGACTATACAAATGCTGAGCATTACCATTGCCAGGGCTGTCCCAAGGACATTTAGGGCCACTGCCAACATCAAACAAGGATGGTATGGAAGTCTCGCTTACCACGTAACACTCCGTGGGATGGGCGCACCAGTATAGGACAAGAAATAGGCTTTTCCCCTCTCCCCTGCCCCCCCCATGTGTTTATTAGCTTAAATTTGCTTTAATAACATGGACGCTTCTCCCCCCACAAGGGAACCATTGATGCGGGGAGGGGGGAGGAATGACTAGGAGAGTTAGGCTGAACTCAGGAAAAGGAAAATATAAGCTGAAGATCAGGAGACAGCACTGTCTATCAGTCTGTGGAACAGTCTCCTGTTGGAAGTGGGGTAGTTCCCATCACTTGAGAAATATACAACTAAACTGAACCAGACAGGGTGAATTAGCTGTAGGGTACAGTCCTGCTCTGGCAGGGGATGGACTAGACCATGATTTCTCAACCTTTTTGATACCAAGGATCAGCTTGCTGCCTTCCTAAACTGTGTCAGGGAGATATTGGGGACTGGCACAAGTCCACGGACCAGTCACTGAGAAACACTGGACAAGATGGCCCAACAGGTCTTTCCCATCTTGACTAGCTTCAGTTCTTTGACAGAATAAAAACAGCAAACATAACGTTCCTCAGAGATCCATGACAGAGTCAGGGAATGGCAAGGAGATAATGACCACGATATTTCAGGCCATGATGGGGAGAGCCGCATAAGAGAGAAAATGGGGGAATATCTGGATGTAGCAAAAGAACTCCCCTGGGAAAGGCCTATAGAATGGAAGAGAAAATGTGGTCATTTCTATAGTCTTAACCATCCTATAGAGTTTTATAGAGAATGATATGCCTGCTGGGGGGGGGGGGAGGGAAGAGTGAGTGAGTGTGTGTGTGTGTGTGTGTGTGTGTGTGTGTGTGTGTGTGTGTGTGTGTGTGTGTGTGTG